ACCTAAAGCTCGGAAAAGCACATTTGCATTTGCCATTGACATCAGCTTTAATCCATCCCAAACCACTTCTTCAACACCCCCAGCATCTTGAAGAGGAGCTTCAACCATTGCTAATTACATGAAAAAGATGGTAATAATCACTAGTGCCATCTGCCTGGTCAGTATTAACATTGATAGCCTGACATAAGCTGAAATCTGCCAGAGATCAGTCCACAGAGAAATGTAAAGTAAAGTAAACATAAGCACGTGAATATGAAGGCTGTTCTCATGCCTACATTTGTTTGCCACATGCATTTTTAGATAGTCCCAGTTTAAGTCTTCTGAAATAAACCAGGAAAGCAGCCCTTGTCACACACACTCACATACATATACAGTCAGAAATTAAAGGAAGAACCTGAATAAATGACTGGTCTCTTCCAGGATGACATGAGAGGTCACTGAATGGTCTGATGTGTATGAAAATGATGTGAATCATATGCTGTGGCCTTCACGGTCACCAGATTTCAGCCCAGTTGAACACCTATGGGACAATTTGGACACCACATGAGGGAATATCTTTTAGAAGAATGGTGTTCAGAGACTTAACAAGTCAATGCCAAGGTGCAGTGAAACTGTTCTGGTGGCCTAAGGCGCTATATGTAGGTTTTTCAGCCAGGTTTAATTTGTCAGTCATGGGTATGTTGCTTATTAATATCATCTTGCATCATTTCATAAAAATTCCAAAAGCATGGCTCTGACACGAGTGGCCTGCCTGGGTGAGCTGACTGTGATGGCACTGTTCAACATCGCATGGTGTTTAATCAAATGCACTTAACTGGTTGTTAATAAATGGCAATATTGCTTTTATGGCATTATGAGGAAACTGAGTTGCCCTTGGCAGAGGTCTGCACTCTCTGAGTGCCGTCTAGTTGCAAAGGTTTTGGAGTTTTTCAGCAACTGTCTGCTTATTTTCTTCTAACCTTTTTTAAACTTAATATGTAGAAAAGTACTCTACTGAATTGGTTAGACATTTTCTTTTGTGTTTGAAGGGAACTTTGTCTGCCATATATTTGAGAGGAACTCTTCTCTAGGTGTCTTATACACTACTACAGAGGTTGGAGAGGGGAAGGAGGTGGGTTCAGGTAGACCGGGTGGTAGGCCACCCAGTGAGCCAGTGGACTGGAAAACGCTGGCCTCTGGCAGAAAGTTAGTGGGTCTATGGTGCTAATGTGACCTCTGGTTCTTTAGAGCTCTGATGTAGGAACAATGTGTAATGCCAAGTGCCTCAGTGCAAAGAGTTTCAGGAAGGAACCACTAGAAGCAACAAAGTAAAGTGAAGACTACCCTCTCCCTCATCTCTAAAAAGAAACCCCTCAACTTGAGTTAGACATTGTCACTGGTGAGAAAATGGGCTACTAAAGCTTTCATTGGACAGCAAGAGATGCTAGTGAAAAAATTAAATAAAACACTGTGCATCATGCACTCGCATGCACAGCATTCACAGCCTGCCACAACAGGAGCTGTTGGCAGCTTGGTCATCAATGAAAGGAGGCAGAGAGAGAAAGGAAGTGGGGAAAAATAGGGAGAAAGAAAGTGAAGCTGACAGGAGCAGCTCCCCTCCTCCCATTAGCAATCAAGGAGAGGGAGTAGGACCTATGTTTCAAGCTCAGCTGCATCTCAACCCAATCATTACATCACACAAACGTTTAAATCAACAGGATGTATACTATGTTACGACGTTCACTAATGTATTCCATCTGATTCAGTACTCCCAGCATGAAATGTTACACCTCTGGCATTTTGACATATTGCACACTTGGAATCTACTTGTATAATGTTTCCAGCAGAAAAGGATTTTGGTCAGTGATGGAAATTCAGCCTCTGAAATAACAAGTCAGACATATAGCTACAGTATTAATATCTTAAGTGGTATTCACAAGCACAGTGTGTATGCTCTGTCAACTTCAAAACATGTCGCATCACCTGGTCAGGTGCAAATATAGAAGAAATGAAATACTGTGAGACTCTTTAAGATCCTCTGAGTGCACCTTTACTCATGCCAGGAACTTGCTGACCATAGTATACTCAGAGAATCAAGCGTGTGGAGCGACGATCCCTTAATGTCCTAGAAGTGGCTGCCCACCGGACCATGGGGTCTCTACCTCATTCCCTTATCGAGCTGAGCTGTCAAATTGAGCCAGGATCACCCCGCCATGGTCAAGCAGCTCCTAAAAGACCACTCTCAGTGTATAACCTCTATAAGCCAGTCCCACACAGTATGGTAACCATTCCATCTTTTGGGGTGTGTAGCTGTGTCTCTACTAAGCTCCCTGCTGAGTAGAGACAAATGCTGCAACAGCAGAACCTGATCACCATACAGCGGAAGGGGTTTCTTACCCTTCTCCCCGGGGGAGACCCTGACCTGGGTGAGGGGTTTGAAGAAGACAGCAGGAGAATCGGACCAAGAACTGAACTAAAACAATCAGAAACTATTTCAAAGCAGGTGTAGCACCTGAAACAGTCCTCCTCCTAATGTCTGTACATCCAAAAACCTCCAAAAGGCCCAAGCCTCTTGTCTCTCCTCCTTTTCAATCCTCTGTCTCCATCTCCTGTGACGATGGACCCACACAGAAACTTCCTTCTTCCTCAAGTGGTGAACCATTGATCACCACAACCCTGTTGTCACTTCAGCAACTTTAACATATAGTGTCACATATATGGTGAATACTAAAACAAGATTAATACAAGGATGACATAAGAATGTGTAACGACAAATCATCGACAATCAGCAGTTTCATAATTTCTCTTGGATTACATCATACATGCTAACGATTTATTTTGCTTTCATTTGTATGATGGAAACTACTGTTGATTCAATCATAGGCACAAGTAAATATGACAACTATAATTTATGCATAAAGTATAAACCAAATGTAACATATCTCAGTAGATCTCACAAAATAGCTCTTTTTCAAATGATGCTGTTCATCTCCTGAAACAACAGATAATAGCAGCTTTTGTTAGCCAGTGTTATCAGTCAGTTTTTATGGCCCCAGGCTCCAGGAAGACACAGGACAGGAAAACTACAACAAAATGCTATTGTTTTGCAGGCGATGAGGGACAGCGGCTCGCACACTAGTTCAGAATTCACAACAGAGGAAAATAGTACAGCTACTCTGGGGACAAAATAAGGTGGCAGGGAGGTAGAGAGGGAGGTGGATGGGGAAATAGCCCCGCTCATCTCCTCTCATTTTCTGCCCGCTACTACCCAGCAGAGTTTCTATGGCAACCCCTCAAAAAGCGGTGTGCGGTGAATTGTGGATTTGAGATGCGCTGTCTGATTGCGCTGTGTGAAGGAGATGGCTGGCTCTTTCGTCAGCCTTCCTCTCTAAGAGGAAATTGGTGGAGAGCTCCAATGAAACGGCGCTGCATATGCTTTCTTTGATGTGTGTGCCAGTCCTCGGTTCTACAGCATGTGTGTGCTTGTGTGTGTGGGTGTGCATGTGTGCGATTCAAGAAAGCTTTACATTAGAATCTAGTGCCCCCTGCAGAGCAGCTTGTCACTTTTGGCACTCACCAGACCACACTGAGCTCTCCAAATGAAACTGTCTGGCTGACCATGTAGACTCATCAGTATGCTTTGGCTTTCAGCTAATGGAGCCGGTGCCACTGATAGCAATTTCTTTGTGCGCTGAATTTCACCAGCAACGTACAATGTGATGCTGTGTGTTTTGATTGTGAAACTGTGACGAATGACTGAGAAAACACACAGGGACAACAAGCACAGTAACATTTTGTCTCAAACCTCCCCTCATATCACCTCCCACCCTGCCGCCTATTTCAATGGAGGCTCATCCTGTGCATGTAACACATGTACACTGCTGTGAGGTCTTTGTCAGGAGATCTGTGTCTTTATCTGTGTAAGAGAAGGACATATATGTTGTTTAGTGTGAGCTCCCTCTCTCTCTTTCCTCTCTGATGCTTGTAAGCTGTCCCCATTAGCATCCCATTATGAACCAGCATGATCACTCATCACTTAGTGCCTGCCACAGCAAGCTCTGTGTGTGTGCATGTGTGTGTGTGTGAGCTTATTCTGTTGTTGACATGTGTGAATCTGTGTGTGCATCACTTCGTCAAGTGATTGAGATGGCCCTGTTTCAAAAGAACATGGGAAAAAAAAGCTGTAAAGTCTTGCTCTGTGTACAATTCAATTTAAATGTGTTTGCAAGTGTTTGGTTTGTTTGACCCAGATTTCTCACCTACCCCACTGTTGGTAAATTGGATATCCGGAGGCAGCTTTGCGCAACAATTTAATTTAGTTGATATGTAGTGAACAGTACCCTCTGCTGACTAAATCTGTGTTGCACATGAAGGCTTAGACTTCAAATCCTCATGAAACATGTTGAGTATTGCTTAAGTTTTGTTCTTCCACTGTTAAATCAAATGTGTATGATAACAGCATGATTGTGTATGATATGTAAATAAACTCAAGTGGTTGAATATTTGGAGACAACAGTATTTTCCTTTTTAAGAGCTGATTCATCTACATTCTAAATAATCCTATTTTTTCCCCTTTAACTCTGTCTTTGGTTTTATTTGCCCTTGTCTTGAGATAGCTGTTTCTGAGCTATCTGCCTTCAACTCAGTAAAATAGAAGTAAAAAGAATTTTGCTTTTGGTTCATCACTACATTTAGAAAAAAAAAAAAAATCAACATCAGCATCTTTCTCCAGAAACAGTGTTGTAGTTATTGTCAACTTTTTTCATTGGGATTTTTATTTCTGTACAAAGTGGTGCCAATGGAAATGGTTCCTTGTTTATCTGTGGATTATCCAGAGAGATGTCAGATGGTTCTACTAATACTATCTTCACTGCTATAAAAACCAGAAACAATATTCCCATTCACCATTCACTTCCACTGTAGAATGAAGATAGAAACCTCCAAATAAGTGAGGGATTTGTTTTGGTCATTTGGGTGAATGGATTATTTAATTTCTCAACTTTTTGTCTCTTTCTCCACAGATAACAACAAGCAGATGTCCCTGATTGTCAGCTGCAGAAAAGGAGATTTCCCCTACCAAGCAGTCCGTGTTCATAGTAAAAGCACAGGCATAGCTAATGGCATTAACCACAGCTGCATTCCCTTTACGTGCTCCAGGCCCAGGACCCTGGTGTTGTGCAATGGCCTGGCATATCAGAGGCTGTAAATGAAATGGATCCATCATTCATGTTTTTGTTTACACCTGTACATTTGCTGCAATGTAATGTCAAAGTGCTATGAAAAAAAAAGCACGAACCTGTCTGTATCCCTCATGCATTCTCTCTTTAACTCTCCTCCCTACGTGGTCTGCTGGGTGTAGTCTGTGGCTCTCCCATCCTGGCCTCCACCTTCCTACCTCCTCTATCAGCCCTGCCCTACAGAGACACACACTCACGCCAGCCTCCAGAGCTCTCTTCATCTCGGGTCCAGATCTAAAGGAATGTTGAGTGTCTCCACAGCCCCCTCTCTGGAGATTAAGCTTCACCATGCCCCCCCCCCATTCCTTTCCAAAGTATGCCCCCCTAAGAGCTGCCGCATTTTTATCAGAGCCTGGTGATTGTGACAGATTGGCCAAATGACATACATACACAGGCACATATTTGTGAACACATGCTGAAACACAAACACGGGGAGGCTGGTGCGCCCGGGGAGGGACCAGACAACATTGGCTCCAGCTATAAAACCCTCCCAGGCTGAGGCCAGTGTCCTGCCCCGAGCTGGACAGAACCTCCTTTCTCTGTGCCAGGACGCTGTCAGGACAGGCAGCAGACGAGCCTCCAACATGAACGACATCTACAAGGCAGCGGTATGTCCTCTTACAACTCATAAAGCTGAAAGTGTGCACTTGGCTTCTCCTGATGAAGTGATTTTGTTGGATGCTTACCATACATCTGTGTGTGGACTAAATCTACTGGCTCATTAAACAGTCTCTAACATGTATTATCAATGACATACAATCAGTGACTTATAATGTAAGACTGTAAATGTATTCTGTCCCATTCACGTGGGGATTATATGGAAAAATCTAGCACTTGTGTATCAGTTTATTTTAAAAAGTCATCATTTTGTTAATTTGACTTTACTTGAATGGTTGACAAATCCCAGTTGATTCAGCTTGCCCAGCACATTGTCTCCATCACCAGCTGATGTCAAAACAGCGTCTACACCATATATGTCTCTGCACTAAATGCTCTCTGACTTCAGTCCTATCAGAGCTGATAGGAGCCACTCTGGGAGGTCACTGACAGGACTGGTCCCTGGTCCGTACTCTGCCGCTTCATTCATGACTGCAAATGGAGCAGTCCCACTTAACATGGCTAATTTTGGCCAGTTGCTCAGATGCTTCTGCGTCGGTGGATCTCTAGTGCCACAGAAGGGCTTCAGGTTTAGATAACCTCCCCCACCCCCAGCTGAATTCCAGCATTATCTGTGAGCCAGAGAGCTGTGTCTGTCCACCTCCACCCGGCTGTCCTGTCCACTCATATCCCAAATGAGCAGTGCAGCTGAGACAGTAAAAACACACAGGAATGTACATTACATGTGTTAGATTAGGTGGATTTTTTTTTTTCATATATCATCACCAGCGAGAGAGTGTGTGCTGTGATTGTGATTGTGCCTATATGTGTGTGTTTAATTTATAGTGGACGACAGATAATAACTCTTACATAAGCAGCTGTCTCCCTCTCTCATTCATGGTAGCTTTTCCAGGATTACTGTTCCATTGTTTAGCCACATCCACAGCTATGCTAATTTAAAACACTGTGTACTGTGCTCTTTATCTGTAGTTCCTGATCCCCCTGTCTATTTATTCTTAACTGCTTCTCTCTCTGGCTTTCACATGTGATATATAGATTTTGTGTTTTTTGGAGTGCTGGCCCATTGTGTGAGACTAAAATATTACCTTTGCTGAATACAAAGTTATCAGAAATAATAATCTAGATAATCTTGAGGCTGGTTTTACACCATGTAACTCAAGAAATCTTAATCCAATTCAAAAATCTAATCACTAATTCAGTAAATATTTTGCCATTTCACATTTTGAACTTTGGTAAATATATAACTATTTCAATCTGTGACTTAGAAACGGTCACATTTGATCAAACAGTATGATGAGAATGTACAGAAATTGTATTTTTTGGTGATGTAATACATACAATCAGGTAATTAAAGTGTTAACTCTAAAGTTTTTTTTGACTGTTACAGGTTGAGCAGCTGACAGATGAGCAAAAAAATGGTGTGTACATTGCTGAATTCATATTAACCATCTTTTAGAGAGCACACGGCACTTATTACTTTAAGCATGCCTTTAAGTCCTGTCTTCAAATTAAAAAAAATGCTTTAATCAAATTGAGTATTTATATTTTCATCTGTGCATCAAGCATGTTGTGGCATGAGGATCACCCTGTCCAGGACCGTACCACATGTTGTGACACAAAACTGTTTTTCTGTGTGCTGTCATTGTGTTGCAGAGTTCAAAGCTGCTTTTGACATCTTCGTACAAGATGCAGCGGATGGCTGCATCAGCACCAAGGAACTGGGGAAGGTGATGAGGATGCTGGGCCAGAACCCCACACCAGAGGAACTGCAGGAGATGATTGACGAGGTGGATGAAGACGGTAAATCAAAACACTTCTGCACTACAGTACAAGAAACTAAATGATTGGTTGTTGACCTCTTCATCTCCAGGACCAGCTGGCAGGTTCATCACTGCACAGTCATGTGGTGCAGACATGTGTAGTTCAAACCTTCTGAACTAGATATGAAATGATGGTCAAGGATCTCAAACACAACAAGCTGTGTCAAGTTGATTCAAAGAGGAATGTGCATCAGTCACACAGGAGTGATCTTAAATTTTCCATGTGAACCAAAAACTAGCATTCTGGATTTGTTTGATAAAGCTTCCATGTCTACACTTTGTCATGTCAACTCACGGAAGCTACATAAGGAGATTAAGAAGATTTTAAGGCCCAATCTGTATTTTTGTCCATAAAATTACAGGTACAGCATATTTTTATTATAAACAATAATTCAAAAATTTGTTAACAAATTTGTTTAGTTTATTTGGCTACAAAATAAACAAAACAAAGAGCAGCATTGAATTATGCAAAACATAAAGTTGTACCATATATACAGTATACACATTTTTATATTTGTATTTCTGGTGTACATTTCCATCTTAAGAATCAACTTTTCATGTTAACAATCATCTTTTATCAATCATTTAAATTAACTATATATGTCACATCTCTTCAGTGCTTCATTGAGTTTATTTTACAAATTAACTCCAAATGACTGAAATGCATCTATTTTTAACATTTATTCTCACTTTTGTTAGGGTGCGCTCGAACACAGAGTGAGCGAGCAGATAAAAAGCGGACCCAGGTGGCTGGCTTTGGTGCAAGCAGTGAGGTTTATTTACAGTGAAGGTAGTGACATATATACAGGAGGAGTAATGAGGTAGATGACCGGGTATCGATCAGCAGCAGCAGAAAAACAGTCAGTGGTATGGTGGATGATGTACCGGGCTGCGGACGCAGAGGTCACTCCAGGGCTGGTCGAGGTGGAAGTGATGATGGCTGTAGACAGAAGAGCAGGGATAAACTGGATAAGGGAGACTGTGCATCGACCTGGGAGGCGGTGGCGTAGATTAAATCCAGGGAAGTCCAGAGGAGATGTTCGAAGAGGAAGAAGACACTAGTGAAGGCAGGGCAGGATAACGACTAGGGTGCTAACAAGGACTAGAGAGAACAAAGGCAATCTTAGCATAAACTTGATAAAACAACATAACAACCACTGGCCTGAAGACAGAGAAAGAACTGCAGAGGAGTGACTGGTGAACAGTGTATAAGTATGGAGGAGACTAATGAGGTGCAGCTGGTGAGTAATCAGGGAAGCGGGGCAGGTGTGTTGAATAGTGTAATCAGTGCAAGGGCTAGGCTAGTGTGAGGAAAGAGAAGAGAGGAAGGTGGAGCTGGGCAAACCTGACAAATTGTGACAGTGAAAATGGTGTGCAGTAACTGATGTTTTAGATATAACCCTGTCTCACAAAAATTACATTCATATAGCAAAACTACTTTCCAAGTTATGCTCTGAGGAAACATTTCAGCTTGTTAATGGCAGCAGTGCAAAGTACAGAGTACAAAGCGCAGAACTGTCACACTGGACTCTGCATCCATCCATCCATTATCTGTACCACTTATTCCTGAATGGGGGGGGCTATGACTGTATCCATGTATGCATTTTAATGTTTTATCTATTTGTGTGCATTGTGTTTAGTGCTCTATAAATAAACCTGCCGTGCCATGTGTGGTTAGGTTTAGGCAACAAGACTTTAATAAAGGCTTGGGAATTAGAACGTGCTGCATTTAAGCATTAGTGCTAGTATATGATGTAGGGCAGTGTGCTGAACAGTAGCAGAAGAGTATGGAAGTGCCATTTTAAAAATCTCTTTCCCTGAGGTTACATATCAATTTGAATAGCTTTCTCCTGCTTAAAAGCGCCATATGTGAGGAGGCTCACTCTGAATTGGCACTGACAAACAACATCTCTCAGGACTCAATTGAGTGAGCAATAAAAAAATAAAACAATACATTTTCACAGCCTTTTTGTGAAAGTCACTCTGCAAACTTTCCTTCG